GTACTTATATAATTTAGCATATAAAAAGCATCAAATTTAATTTCTCATTGAGAGCTAAAGTGATATTTTCAGGAGACTAAATGATTACTAAAGGCAGAGAAAATATTAGCAGATTTGGATTTTAATATACTTTGCTAGAAGTGGCAGTGATGAATGGGGTCTAAAGTAGTTTAAACTTGTCCATTGTAGCATTGGATGGGGACTCTGGCTTTCACCTCATTCTTCCTTTCCAGAGTGAAAATAGCAAATAAAGAGAGGGCAGTACTGTAATTAGTAAGAGAACTCTGATGTTTACCACAATCAAATGTCTTCCCTTGAATTTGTCCAAATGATAAAATATGAAGGGGTCAATAATAGAATTTCTCATTTTTTGCTTCCTTTAAGATTTGTGGTGATATTACTCTGTTAAGTCATATCAAATCAACATGTATGTGCGTGTGTGTGTGTGTGTGTGTGTGCGCACACACACACACACCCATAGGCATACTTACTCTTTTACTTGGACCAAGGATTACAAAGATATACAAGTTTATATTAATTTCTCATGGAACTGAAAATTTTCACACTTTGTTGGAAATGACATTGTTTTGAAGGGAAAACTTTTAATTATCAGTGGCTTCTCTATTTTTCATGTAGCGTGTTTGCAGTATTCCTTTATTGTACTTGCCCTCAATTGGGAATAATGTATAAATAATAAAAATATAACCTATTCTTGAGTTTTATTTAAAATATATTCAATTCTGCCTCTGCCTTGGGAGCAACATTATTCTTTTGCACCTAACATTAATAAAATATTCTCCAAAGGTAGAAGGAAAAATTTAAAGTTACTTCTCTGAAAAAAATTTTTTTATGAAACTAATAAAATTGGTTGATAATATAAAGTTACATTTATAGAGAACATGTTATGCTTCAAAATCTGTAAGAGGAACTTAAAAAATATGCATCATAGTCATAGGAACTCTTTAAGTTGGGTTTTAAATTGACTTCCATTTTATTAGCAGAGGAAATAGAAGCTTTAAAAAGCTAAGTAAATATTGAACCTGAGGATGTCTGGTTCTAGACCTGTTCTCCATTATATCAGAGTAAGGTGCTTTCCAAAATGTAGTACAGATGTAGTTATAATCACAAATACTTCTCTTTTTCTGAGGTGGTAAGGTAAAATGTTTAGCTTGATGATACAACTTTTACATGAAAGGAGTTAGCCCTGTACTAGTGACTCCTGTGTATAGAACTAAAGCTTCCTTCATTGAGTCATTGCATTAGTGGTTTATATATCTGTTTAGTTCCAGAATTAGTCAGTGGGTGAAAGTCATAAATTATGTTGTTCCCACACTGTGGTAGCTCTTTGGTTTCATTTTCTAGATAATTCAGAATGATAGGATCAGGGCAATCTTGAGAGTTAGGGAATTGTCAAAAGAAGCTTAGGAAATTGTCAAAAAAAGCTTCATATGTGGGTTTCTTTAGATTAACAAGACATGGAGAACTGAGTTTTGCACATACTATGTGTAAGACACTGTGCTAAGTGTAAGGGATGTACTGTGGAGAGTAAGCCATCGTGCTGCATCTTATAGTTTAGTAGGACTATGTATTTATTTCAAGATGGAGTGGACCATATGGTACAGTGAGAAGAATTAAGAAAAAACTATGGCAAGTAAATAGTAATAGTCAAAGAGAATTAAGAAAAAAGAGGGTTGGAAGAAAAAAAAGTTGATATTTCTTCTATTAGAATATAAGTTACCCGAGGCCAGACTTGATTATTGTTATACCCCTAGTGTATAGCACAGTGCCTGATAATGTGCTTAGTAAACACTTGTTTAGAAATGAATGGAGAGTTGAAAAGAGATGAATGGAAGATTAAGCAGGAGAGAAGAGAATGACAGCAAGGTATAGGGAAGAGAGGTAAAAACAGAGGAGTGAAAAGTAGTAAAGAGAGCTTTCTATCAAATTCAGCTTTTATGTAACATGGCCAAGACAGTATGGAGAGGCTGGTCTTTACTGTCTTACCTTCAGGCGGGGTGACAGAAGGTGGTTGGGACAGGTTCTGAGATAGTGTCCTGTGATCTGGACTTTCATGAGATCATGTAACAGCAAAGCATTACATGTGAGTACTATTTATCTATTTATTTATAAGTGTTTAATAAATAACTTGAAACCAGAAGTTGAAATGTAGCTTTCTTGAGAATGTGTTTGAATTTTAATATAGTAAGTTTTTTTTAATCTAGTAGTCAGGATATGAACTATTCTACAAAAGTGTATTTTCCAGATAATTGAAGTTTCTATCACCATCAAATGAAAAAAATGCAATTTTACTAGATTTGATGTAAATTTCTTTTTGTATTTTATTTATTTGAGAGAGAGAGAGAGAATGTGTGGGGGAGGGGCAGGAGAAGAGGGAGAGAAAAGCAGAATCCCTGCTGAGTGGGGAGCCTGACTCAAGGCTTGATCTCAATCTCCTGAGATCATCACCTGAGCTGAAGTCAGACACTTAATTGATGAGCCACCCTAGGGCCCCTAGATTTGAAGTAAATTTCTTATAAATATATGTAAACCTAAAGAAAATTAATTTCATCTTTTCCTTGTGATTCTGGATCATTATTATATAGGCACCATAGGTTATCTTTTGCTGCAATAATGTCTTCAGAAAGTATTAAGATTTATTATGTTACTTAACTCTAAACAAAAATGAAATAGTCTTGATTGCTGTATTTTGAACAGACTCTCTAGTGCTTCTTCTTATAAAACACTAATCCCATCATGAGTTCTCTAACCTCAAAAACTCATCTAACCCTAATAACCTCCCCAAGGTTCCCTTTCCAAACACCACACACTAGGACTTAGGGCTTCCATATAGGAATTTTGAAGAGATACAGTTCAGTCCATAGCACATACGCATACATGTATTTTAATATAAATGGAACCATGCTATATTTATTCTTCATCATGCCTTTCAATTTAAAAATATTTCTTTGAAGAAAGGTACATTTGTATACCTCATTCTTTTTAGTGACTATGTGCCACTTTGTGTGGATTAAAATTTATTCAACCATTCCCCGTTGATGGACACTTAAATATTTTCTTGTTTTTGTTTTATAAACAGTGTTGCAACAACCTTCATATGGGCAAATTTTGTGTACATTGTAAAGTATTTTGGTAAGATAGATTTTTAGATGTTGAGATAATATTCTTAATTTTTTTTAGATATTCAGATAATATTCTAATTTGAAGTTTGAAAAACAGTTCCAAGTTGATCTCTAAGAAATTTGTGCCAATGTTGTCACATCAACAGTGTATGTGTTTGTTATTATTTTTTACAGTATTGAGAATACTGGATATTATCCCTTTTTTCATACTTACCAATATTAGTATATGAAAAATAAATTTGCTATTTATTTAATCTGCAGATATTTAATTATGGGTCAGGTTGTAAATATTTTCATATGCTTATTGATCATTTGCATTTTTTCTTGATGAAATTCCAATTATGTTCTTTGTCCATTTTCATATTAGGTTGTCATATTCTCTAAGAGGGCTTGTTTAAAAAAAAAAAAAAGATGATATATTTGATAGAGAACAGGGTGGGGAGGGGCAGAGAGAGAAAAACTTAAGCAGAATCTGTGCTGAATAGGGAGCCCAGTGCAGGGCTTGATCTCACCGACCCTGAGGTCACTACCTGAGCTGAAACCAAGAGTTAGATGCTTAACTGAGTGCACCTCCAGGTGCCCCATTCTAAGAAGGCTTTTGCTTGTAATTTGTACTATAAATATTTCTTTATGGTTTGACTCTTAATTCTGACTTTCTTTATCATCTCTTTAACTTCTAATAAATTTAAACTTTTATAGAGTTGGATTATTAAATATTTTCTTTTGTATATTTTGGGTTTCATATATTGCTTTAAAAGGCTGACGATAAACATTTTATTTTATTTTAGATTTTATTTATTTATTTGACAGACAGAGATCACAAGTAGACAGAAAGGCAGGTGGAGAGAGAGAGGAAGGGAAGCAGGCTTCCTGCCAAGCAGAGAGCCCGATGTGGGGCTCGATCCCAGGACTCTGGGATCATGACCTGAGCTGAAGTCAGAGGCTTTAACCCACTGAGCCACCCAGGTGCCCTCCCTAAAAATTTTAATGTGATACAATAGCTGTGTGTGTTTTTGTGGTAGGGATATTTCTATTCAGGACCAAGTGCATTTTGTGCAACCAAAAATTATCTGGTCTATATGTACATATTAATTTTGTCTATTTAATTGTTAATACCTATACGGAAAATACCTGCAAGGCATTATTATATTATATGAAAAGAAATAGCTTACTATCCACTTAAATTGCGCATTCAACTGAGCCTCACTTTCTTTTCTTTAAAATATGGATAATAATATCTATCTCATTGGTTGTTGTGAGAATTAAATGAGATAACATATGCCAAAAATACTAGATGCCATTTACTCAGTACCTACTAAGTACCAGTTGTTATATATGCATTAGTTTATACGATCCCCAAAATAATGCTTTGAGGCAGGTAGTACTGCACTCAAATTACAAGTGAGCTTGTGCAACTTGCCCATCATCTCATGAAAAGTAGGAAAGCCACAATGTAAATACATGTTTGTCTGAAAACAAAAACCATGATCTTTTCACTATATCTTCCTCCTGGGACAGTACGGGTATTTATTTGCTTAAATCCTTTCTTCTTTTTTAATTTTCTGTTTCTCTTTTTCTATTTAATGACTAAGACTCTCAGACTTGCCCTGCAATACTACCTGTGATTATTGAAATAATCCTTTCTGCATTGTCCAGTAAGGTTGCCACTAGCTACACGTGTCTGTTTAGCAGTCGAAAGGTGGTTAATGCAACCAAGGATTTTTACTTTATTTTGAATTAAATTACATGTGGCTACCATTTTGGAAATCACCATCTTAGATGTATGAATGCTCAGGGTGTGGGCATACAGTGACTGTAACTGACTTTATTGATTGATGATGAGGAAACTGTTCATTCTAGGTTGAAAGCTTTAGCAGAGGAACTTACACAGACACAGCAGATGCTTTTAAACAAGGAGGAGGCTGTCTTGGAACTAGAGAAGAGAATTGAGGAATCTTCTAAGACCTGTGAAAAGAAGTCTGAGTGAGTAAAACAAAAATAATTTGAAGGAAGAAAGTTTAATTGATTTATTTTTACGGAATACTTCAGTTATATATTGTCATGGATGTAAAATTTCTAGAAGCTGAAATTTTATTTTAAGTGTAAAACTTGGTGTTGTTGAGTTACTTTCTAGGACTCTGGAAAACTGATCTGGGTTTTGTCAATGTAGGTTTTGTCAATGTCTCAATATTTTAACAGTTTGAACTATTTTCTGAAAAATCTTGTTAAAAGTTGTCTTTATTCCCCTCATCAGTGTCCACCAGATTCACTCTGCATTCCTTGTTGAGAAAGTAGCAGATCAGTGTTACCTAGAAACTGGCTTCTCTGTGTTAGAAGGAAGCAAACACACTTATGAGAAAATAGTAGTCCGCTTCACTTATAAAAATCCCTTTAAGATTTGCTGTGCTGTTCTGTCTTACTGTTGTTTTTCTTGCTGATTTCTGGATCTGTAAATATCCTACTGGATTTTTAAACTTTACTTGCATGGGGATACTGTTGTTTTCACTGATACCACTAATTATATTTTCTGCTGTTTTAACGTTTACATTTTGATCTATAATTTAAAATTTATATTCTGGTTATAGTTATTATTTGCATCTCCAACAGGTGTTGTGACTAGTATGGTTTCTCTATTCCTGACTGGAGTATATAAATTTCTTGCTATCATTTTCTCATCACTGGCTTGATTTATCAGTGTTCTCAAGGAAATTGTGATATGTCAGATTTCTCTGGTCTGTACTTGCTCTTTCTACATAACTTCTCAGTTATTCTAATTTCTCTCAAATCTCGTATCCTCTCATCTCCTCCATCATAGACAGCAGATGGACCTCTTCTATCTACATTACAGAAAAAAATTAAAATCATCAGGTGGCAACTCCCTTGTTTTCTGTGATACACATATCCACTGCATTTGTACCCATTCTCTGTGCTTGCTTCCATAGCGGAACTTCTCCTTGTCCTAAGTCCACTTCTTGGGCCTGCTTTTTGTATCTTGTCATCTCATACTTTCTCAGATAATTTAAATTATTTATTATATTATGTTCACCTTTTCTTCTCAATTGGGTCCAGCGCTCACTTTTTAAATACGATTAAGTCTTGGCTCTTAAAAACAATTTCTACCCCAGATAACTCTTCTGTATTCATATATCCTCCCAACTGCCTTTTCCTTGTTTTCTTATTCATACTTATTCTAAGAGCAATTATTTTCACCATTTCTTCAACTCCCACTTAGTTCTCAACCCACATATCTAGCTTCTGCCCCGTCACCATTGAAATAGTTTATCTGTAAGATATCCACTGACCTATTCATTGCTAAATTTAACAAGTGTCTTACTTGACTTCCTCTCAGTATCTGATTTTGTTGAATATATATTTCTTCTTTTCCCTTGGTTTTTGGGACCGGATCTTTTGCCTTTCTTTCTGGCTACTCCTTTATAATCTCATTTTCCTCCACTAAGCCAATATATTTTGGAGTTATTCGAGGAATGGCTCTAGGCTTTGTACTCCTCTCTTCCTCTTCGCTCCCTAGGTGGTTTCCTGAAGATGACCCAAATTTATTACTCTTGCTTAGATTTTTCCTCTGAAATCAATGGCCATTTAGTTAATTGCCAACTTGACATGATTGCTTAGATGTCTTAGAAATATCCTAGGGGTGCCTGGGTGGCTCAGTGGGTTAGGGCCTCTGCCTTTGGCTCGGGTTGTGGTCTCGGGGTCCTGGGATCGAGCCATGCATCGGGCTCTCTGCTTGGTGGGGAGCCTGCTTCCCCCTCTCTCCCTCTGTCTGCCTCTGCCTGCTTGTGATCTCTGTCTGTCAGGTAAATAAATAAAATCTTAAAAAAAAAAAGTAGTATCCTAAATTTCCCATGTTTAAGACTGAATTAAAAATCTCAATATACCCCACTCCAGTTCAACCTGGTTCACTGTTAGTATTCCTCTTTTCAGTGAATGGCGACACCATCTATTCTATTATACAGCCCAGAATATTAGGGGCCCACCTCTCCCACCTATACTCTGACTCTTTTTATAACTTGGCATTAAATATTGTATTGGAGTCCATGAGCTTTTTAAATACGAGAACAGGAAAATTTGAGTTGCTCTGGGCATTACCTTAATAAATATGGAAAATTTCAGTATTGCATCAACAGAAGATTCTATTTGGATTATAAAAATAAAATTTATCAGCCATTGCACATATGAAATTCAAAAAAGAATTATATTTTGCTTTTCTGTGTTTTGGGATAATTTCTTCACAAGTTTACAGAAGACCAAGTAGTTTTACTTTTTACAGTTCTGTAAATGTATACATTATAAATTACTCCTGTTTTAAAATTTAGTGTCTATAAAGAAAGACCATTAGGTGGCTGATCCTCTCACCAGCATATCTGACTATACATTGTTGGAGGAGACAATCTTTACGTGTTACCTTAATCTAGAAATTATGAGATTCTTGGATTTTTTTTTTTTTTGCTCTATTTTCTTGACTCAAATCTTTGACTCTCTCTTCCTCTACATAATGAATATGACCCATTCTCCTACACCTGTTTATATTTATCAGGAAATGAAAATTGGGGTATAGGAGAGGGGCCTTAAAGGGTGGTAAATATATGGGAAATAACGTTTATTGAGTTTTTACTCTGTCCAACATGTTATGCCAGATGTTTTATATATATTATCACATTGAGTATTATCTTCGCTACATCTTTGGTGTATTTGCCTATATTTTCCCTTTATGACTTAGTTAAAAAATTACAATTACATACTCAGTCAGTGGTAGAAAATACATGAATTCCTGACTCCACAGTGTATATGTCTTTTTGATCACAGCATCAGCTTGATCTTACTATTTTAAAAATCTTCTTATGAGAGTAAGTTAAAAAGGGACAAGTATGTCAAGCAGTTCAGGGGAAGAGTCTTCGTTAACCCAAATTCTGTTAACCCTTTGTTATCATGATGTTTTTATTGTTAGCTTCATGGCATAATCTTGAAAATGTTAAGTACATTTGTGTAACTAAACAGTCATTGTGAAATCTCATTAATTCAGATATTAGTAGGATTGCAGTTTGTCTTTGACTTATATATTAAAATATTTTGCTAAACAAATAACCTGAAAGGGATTCTAGTGAAAATGTTTGTATTTCAGTTTCTTAATCATTCATAAACGTTTCCTTTTTTGTGTATGTATTTGTATAAATCTGCATATGTATTTGTATATATCTACATATGTATTTAAATACACTTATATAGTTGAAAGCAATTTTAATCCAGTTTTAGAAATAGATTTACAATTTTTTTACTGGGCAGTACTTTTTTAGCTTCATATACTGTTAATTGGAAGTAATAAAACAATAAAACAGAACTACAGCTCTTCACAAATGCTGAAAGTATCCTATAAGTTATGTATTTGTACTCATAAATTATTGCAATTATACTGAATTTTTACCTAACAGAAAGCATTATTGGTTCAGTTGAAATATAACATAATAAGAAACTGAAGTTAAATCCCTTAAATTTGAATTTAACATAAATGTCTCTAAAACATCTTATAGTAACAGGAAAAAAATAAGTAATATAAGAAATCATTTGATAACTTTGATTCCTGTAATTGAATAATCTAAAGTGAAAAATAAACTTAAAGAATGGTTTTATGTGACATTAAATTCACACTAATGAGTCAAGTTTTAGTTTATATAAGTGATGCAGGTCTCAGTTGAAATGTAGCTGTTGTAGAATTATATTTAAAAAAAAATAGAGTAAAAGGAATAAAACCAACCACTTGAAATGGTATAATTTTAATACAACACTAAGTGTTACTGTAGTATATGTAACTTTACTCATTACTTCTAAAGCATATTTATTCAAATGGAAATAATATCAATCTTCTCCTGATTTATGATCCTTGAATACTATATTAGAAAACAGTTTATGGGAAAGTATGCCAAGCATATGTTATTTATGGCTCAATGGCATGAAGAGCAAGTATTATTACTATTGGTTTTAATGCTTGGGTTGACTTCCAAAAATTGAATGATTACTTAATTTTGTGTTGTTTTGTGCCATTATCATCTAATACTTAAAAATTCTTTATATATTATAAAATCAAAACTCTTAGAGCCATGCAGAATCTTAAGAGCTCATTTGATTCAGCCTCCTTGTCTTTCAAATTATGTGACATCAGAGGCCCCAGAATTTTAAGAGACTTGCAAAATGTCACAGCTAGCTTATAGTTAAGGTAAGACTTGAGCAATCTAAGTTATTATACTAGTCTACAAATTCAGGGACCTTTTATTTTTGTCTCAGGATTTAAAAATTATGTGTGTCACAAAAAAAGTCCTGCCTAAATAATTCATTCAATAATATTTATTGCATGTCTTGTTAGACGCTGTGAATACAATGAAAGGTAAGATATATATTGTCCCATGTCTCATGAAGCTTACACTTTCGTGGAGTAGACTAATACAAATAAGAAATTAACAATTATGATAATTGCTATAAAATAAAGAATTCAGATAGAAGAATAATAGAGGAATAGCTACTTAAGATAGGTAGTCAGGGGTCTCCCAGAAAGTGGCATTTTTGCTAGATGTGAAGGACAGAAGGTGCCCTCCATATGAAGAATGCATGCAAAAAGTAGCCAGTGATAGGGAATAAGTTGCACAGGCAAAGGTCCTGATCCCATCCATGTTTTAAATTTATTTATGGTTTCGTATATATCTTGTGTTATGTTATTTTCTATAATTTTCTTCTTACTGTAGTATGTATAACTCATTTGCTAAATGGTATTATAAGCATAAAAATAATTATATAGTAAGTGGTATAGTGATTATAACCATACCTTTAAAAAAGTAACTACTGAACAAAAGCAAGACATTACCGTATGTGAAATTATATCATTATACATAAAACTCAGTAAGATTAATTGTTAAAAAAGCTAATGTTGCTCATGAATTTCATGATTAGACATGTCAATTAAGAAAAGTTAGGAC